AATGTTTGAGGATAATCCGAACGTCAAAGCTGCGTTCATTAGCCTACGGAACATGGATGAAGTGGAACTGCGCAACAGCAAAGAGTTAAGAGGCCATGCTCTGCGCGTGATGGGCATGGTCGACAAGGTATAACTCGCGTGAAAACATTACCAATGTGACGACGTTCGCCACTATAATGTATGCAGCCAACGTAACGAGGGCTTACGCCTGGCAGGGGGGCGCTCACCCAGCCATCTAGCAGACGGCTTTGAGAATTGCCATAGAAATAATACTAGTTAGACTACTAGTTAGATTTACACTACTAAATAATACTAGTTAGAATACTAGTTAGGCTTATACTACTAATTATACTATTTAGACTACTAGTTAGACTTATACTACTAACTAATATTAGTTAGACTACTAATTAGATTTATACTACTAAATAATACTAGTTAGACTGCTAGTTAGATTTATACTACTAAATAATATTAGTTAGACTACTAGTTAGATTTATACTACTAAATAATACTATAGTTAAGCTTGTACTAGTTATAGTGTCTTTATGTATTTCTATGATAATTGCTCAACTATGATGACGTCTACGCTGTTTAAGGTGACGACACGGCTGAACGAGCCAGAGAAGATAGAACAGCTGCTGCGCACACTCGGCACGAAACATGTCGGATACGGAGCCAAGATCCAGTACATCGACGTAGGTTTCACAACCACACTAACTGCATTTTTAATTCGCGGTGACGATGACGAATCACGAATGACCTAGGACAAACATTGTTTATTTAAAAAAAATTGTAACAATATAAACCTTTCATAGTGTACATATAGTATACTATAGTATGGTCTATACTATGTATATAGTATCTTCGTAGTGTATTTCAAGTTAATGTTTTACGGTTAGTGTATAATTAACAAATAACTAATATGTGTTATAAGGCTCTATATTACTATTCAACGATTTACTTTGGCGAAAAACCTACACTGAATATGACATTATCGGTGTCGTTTATGGGCTTCTTATCGGGTTGATCTTTAAACACTCTGGGCTCGTTATTGATACTCACACGGTGAAAGAGGCATGCACATCGCCTCATATCAATATTGATCTTACACTTGCACTTTGTCTGTGCAATATTACGGCCTAAATCCCCGTCTACGTCATCGAGATGAAGCAAGTAAAAACATTGCGTTTTTTTTTCAAATTCAAAGAACTCTGCCACGTGGTATTTTTACCCACTTACCATTAAACGTATACTTGTGCGACAATATTGATTGATGTTTTTTGTGGTGCGTTAGTGGGTTCAGTTATTTCAAAATCAGGAATATGATAATGCACTTGCCGCAAAACGTTTAATTACTTAACGAGTGCGTGAATAATTAAATGAATTGCTCTCAAAATTATTGCAAAGTCATGTAGTGAATATGGCCGCCATGCGACCTTATATGGTTTCGGCTTTGGAAAACAGCGTTAACACACACACGAACGCATGCGACGGACGGACGGACACACACACGCGAACGCACGCGACGGACGGACGGACGGTCGGTCGGACGGACGGATGGACGGACGGACGGACCGACGGACGGAAGGGACCGACGGACACACACACGAACGCACGCGACGGACGGACGGACGGACGGACGGACGGACGGACGGACGGACGGACGGACGGACGAACGGACGGACGGACGGGCGAATGGAGGAACGGACGAACGGACGGACGGACGGACGGACGGACGGACGAACGGACGGACGGACGAACGGACGGACACACACACGAACTCACGCGGCGGACGGACAGACGGACGGGCGGACGGAAGGACGGAAGGACACACACACGAACGCACGCGATGGACGGACAGACGGACGGACAGACAGACGGACGGACGGACGAACGGACGGACGGACGGACGGACGGACACACACGCGAACGCACGCGACGGATGGACGGACACACACGCGAACGCACGCGACGGACGGACAGCCGGACGGACGGACGGACGGAAGGACACACACACGAACGCACGCGACGGAAGGACAGACGGACGGACGGACGGACGGACACACACACGAACGCGCGCGACAAACGGACAAACGGATGGACAGACACATACACGAACGCACGCGACGGACGGACAGACGGACGGGCGGACGGACGGACGGACGGTCGGACGGACGGACGGACGGACGGACGGACGGACGGACGGACGGACGAACGGACGGACGGACGGGCGAATGGAGGAACGGACGAACGGACGGACGGAAGGACGGACGGACGGACGAACGGACGGACGGACGGGCGAATGGAGGAACGGACGAACGGA